ATGGGTGTGGATGGTATATGGGTAGGTATGAATGTATATATATGGGTGGTAGATAAGGGTGTGGATGGTATATGGGTAGGTATGAGAGGATATATATGGGTGGTAGATATGAATGTGGATGGTATATGGGTAGGTATGAGTGGATATATATGGGTGGTAGATATGGGTGTGGATGGTATATGGGTAGATATGAGTGGTTATATATGGGTGGTTGATGAGTGTGGATGGTATATGTGTAGGTATGAGTGGATATATATGGGTGGTAGATATGGGTGTGGATGGTATATGGGTAGATATGAGTGGTGATATATGGGTGGTAGATATGAGTGTGGATGGTATATGGATAGGTATGAGTGGATATATATGGGTGGTGGATATGGGTGTGGATGGTATATGGGTAGGTATGAGTGTATATATATGGGTGGTAGATATGGGTAAAGACGGTATATGGGTAGATATGAGCGTAGGTATATGATTGGTAGATATGGATTTGGATGGTATATAGATATATATGATTGGTAGATATTGGCACCGATGACATATGGGTAGACATGAGTGTATATATAAGGGTGGTAGATATGGGTATGGATGCTTCATAAGTAGATATGAGTGCAAATATATGACTGGTAGATATGGGTGTGATGTCATAAATACTTGTCATTCTATGTTTTATATTCGAACTGTTCGTTACTTACCATCAAGAGTCGCAAAGGAGTTTCACAGACACACAGGAAATCAAGCCTGCACAGAACATCGCCTACTAGGAGATGCTGCAAACACGTACAATACAACATGTATACAGTCTGTCGCAAATACACCGGATGTCGTATAAACACCACATGTCGCAAATACCTACAATTCCACATTGAAAATGTCATATATACACCCCATGTCGCAAATACATACAATTCTACGTTGAAGTCAAAGATCGTATCGTCTGTGACTATACACATCAGATGTCGCAAATACATACAATTCTACGTTGAAGTCAAAGATCGCGGTATCGTCTGTGACTACCACTGCTGGGCTGCGGTGTTTGGTGGCCCCATCACTGTACATTACGACAATGTATAAACGACGACCTGTGGTATGTCGCAAATACACAATGTGTTTATCATTAGAAGAGACGAGGATACAATGGTTGGAGGTGCACATATATGAGACAAGCAAAGATATGTCGCAAATACAAAAGGTGCTCGATCTGTGAGACGGAAAAGTGCCCCGATCTGTGCGTACACACTCGACAAGCTATATCATATGTCGCAAATTAACATGGTATCGTAAATGAAGGGGAGCATACACTGCAGATGTGTGTACACGCGTGAATAAGTACACTTCACGACCTGAACCATGTCGTAAATGTAAAGAGTAGTCCCGTTTACACAAGGACAGACAAATTAGATTGGTCAGTGATGCTGTGCAGCAACTGGCAGGGAAAGCGCACAGTGGGATGAAGTATAACACAAGATGTCGCATATTCAGAACGTGTCGCATATTCAGAACGTGTCGCATATTAAAGTGTCAAATATTAAGAATATGTGCCACATATCACGAATGTCTCATCCTAAAAGTGTTTAGCATATCAAGAAATGTTTTAGGGTTTACGCATATTCAAAAAGTGTCGCATATTAAGAATATGTTGTATAGTGTGAATGTGTCGCATATTAAGAATGTGTTGTATAGTGCGAATGTGTCGCATATTAAGAATGTGTTGTATATTAAGAATGTGTCGCATATTAAGAATGTGTTGTATATCAAGTATGTGTCGCATATTAAGAATGTGTCTCACGCTGGTAGAGGGGCGATATACCTACAGAAGCGCAGACATCACCCAAGAAACAGAACCGTACATTGAAAACACACACGTAGGGTTTGAGGGTTTTTTTTAGAGACACAACGGTTGGTGTGTGACAGAGAAATACTTACGGAAGAGGTTTTAGGGTTTTAGGGTTTTGGGGACACAACGGTTGGTATGTGCCAGAGGAATACTTACGGAAGAGGATGTCTCGGCGGGCAATGCTTCCCAAGTTCATACACCGATCGACTGTGGAACAGAGACGAAGCAGAAAGTGTCAGACGACATGGTTACTGTGCATATAAATAGCACTATATATGTTTTAACTTGTCTTGTGTGTGTATGTATCTGGGTTAT